TAACTTTATGTATTAAAAATTTAAAACTGAATAAATATTTATGATATTTAATAGGTTTTTTTAGGTTTAATAAATTAAATTTTATAACAATTATATACAATTATAAAATATTGTGCATTTTAACTCTATAATCTTTTAATTTTTTTATTTAATAATTTTAATTACTTATTGTATTAATGTTTAATTTACATTTTATAGTTACATAATGTAATATTTAACTCTTGCATTATAGGTATCTTCAAGGGTTGAAGCTTTTCAAGATTTATCTCTTCCCATTCCTACTCGTGATCATGTTACTGTTTTACACCAAAGTTCAACCAATCCGTCTGCAGTGTATAAAGTATCTGACACATACACAAATCAACAAATGATCCAGGTTAATTTTTTACATATTATAATATAATATACTGTATTAATTTTAGATTCCGGACCAATCAAACAATTTATTTGTTTAACAATATGATTTATCTTTTTAAATGTTTAATCATTAATTATTATAGTATATAGAGCAGGAATGGGCAACTATAGTCTGTAATCTATATTTAGTCTGAGACTCCACTTAATGCAATCCATGTTGTAAAATAAATATAAATTTTATGACCATGACATTTTTATTTTTACTTTTTGGTCCTCTATTAAAAAGTTTTATTTGAAATCATCCCTGACATAGACTATATCAATATTGAACATTTTAAATAATTTTTTTATAAATAACCTACTTTTTTCAGTAGTCTTTAAATTATTAAGGTAATCTAAGTATTGCTCATTTTTTTATTTTAGTTTTGATTAACATTATTTTGAAAGTTAATTGAAATATATCACAAATATTTTGTTATCTTGATATTTCATTATGATGTATTTGTATTGTTATTAATTTATTTTTACTTTTCCAGGCTTGGTTCTCTTGGTTTTTTGGTGTAATGTATAAATGGTTGTGGGGCCCAACAGTTGGTTTACATGATTGTTTAGCAGCATTTTTCAGTGCTGATGAACTTAAGGGTGATAACATGTACAGGTATGAAAAGGTATATTAAAACTTTAAATTTTTTGTTTTAATCTAATTATCTTGTAGCTGTGAAAAATGCAAAAAGCTGCGTAATGGTATAAAGTTTTCTAAACTTCTTGAATTGCCTGAAGTTTTGTGTATACATTTAAAGAGATTCAGACATGAACTGATGTTTTCATCTAAAATAACTTCATATGTAACATTTCCTATTGATGGTGTTGATTTACGGCCATATGTTCATAAAGGTATGTTTAAACCTATATTATGTTATTGTTAAAATTCTGTTTTAATTTGTAATTAAAAAAATTATATTGGTTATATAGATTGTACATCTCAAGTGACAACATACAAACTAGTATCAGTTATTTGTCATCATGGTACAATTGGAAGCGGTGGTCATTACACATGCTATTCGTTAAATCCAATAAACGAACAATGGTATGAATTTGATGATCAGTGTGTCACTTTAGTATCAGCTGAAACTGTTCGGAATGCAGAAGCTTATGTTCTTTTCTACAAGTAAGTACATAATTATACATATATTTAATTATTTTTTTTATAACAGCGATGAAAACATTTTGTATGATGTAACATATTTTTTATGATGATAATTGATTACAATATTCATATTTGTTTAGAAAAAATAGTCCATTAACCAATAGAATTAGAACTCAAATGCGACAAGTTCAAGTGAATAAGAGTCAGCCTAATTGTTCTCAGGAAGCATGTTTTATTTCGACTAGATGGTTATCCAAGTTTAATACATTTGCTGAACCGGGTCCTATAGATAACTACGATTTCATGTGCCACCACAATAGAGTGAAGCCTACTCATGAGCCACAGATTAATCATTATGCTACTATGGTTTCTGGACAAATTTGGGATTATTTACACAGCAAGTAAGTATGATATCATTAAAAATAGAAACAATAAACTAATAATGTTATAATTAGATTTGATGGTGGACCAAAATGCACTAATAATCAACTACAAAGGTGTGACGTCTGTTATGCTGAATATCTTGAGATGATGCTCAGGAATAGAGCTGAGACAGAAACAAAAAATTTTGCACGACTCGGAGAGGAGTCAAGTCCACATGTAATGTATAGTATTTTAAAAACTAGCTTTATTATGCTTATTGCTGTATATATTTTTTTTAAATAAACGCAAAACTATTTTGTGTTTAGAAAAACCAATTTAGTGTTGTTTGTTATATTATAATTTAAGGTCATTTTTTAGTCTGTATTAGTATATGCATTTTTACAATATTTTTATTTTTAAGCAAGTTATTAGAATTTTTAATTTATATTTTATATACTACAAAAAAAATCAACCGAAAAACAGATAATATTCTAACCTTAAAAATTGACAATGAGTCAAGAGTCAACTCACTAATTTCTATATTCATTATTAATAATTTATATAAGTTAACATAATTTTTTTATCTTGCTAAACATATATTTACTATGATGCCTATTTTTAAGATCTAATAGTACGTGCAGGTGGGTTATCATCTTAAATTTAACTGTTTTATAGTTAATATAATTATTAATTTAATAATTTATAAAAAGGCTCTAACTAGCTATATATTACGATTGACAGTTTAAATTTTAGTATTAGTTGTGATTTGTGAATGTCTTGTAGTATTCATATAGATTAATATTAATTTTTATGTTTAGGATGGATTAGCCTATTATGCTATATCAATGAGTTGGTTCAAGTGCTGGGAATCTTTCTTGAACGGTGTTGTAAGTGAACCACCTGGGCCAATAGACAACTCAAAATTAATTGATAAATCAGATGGCAAAACTTTAGGTATTTTATATAGTTAACATAATAGTTTTGTTTATTTTGTTTTATGTGTTTTATTGTTATTTAGAAAATGACTATGTATCTGTATTTGAAGTCCAATGGGAATACTTGTATAGGATATACAGTGGTGGTCCTGTTATTGAAGTTAATAACCTCCAAGCACCGTAAGTTGAGCATATTTTTTTAATAGTTTAAGTATGGCTTACATTTGTTTTTTCTAATTAGGGTTGAAAATACTGATGTTTTTTTTAATCAAACAAACACTCAACTAGACGAACTGTGCGAAGTTGATGAACCTATAGAAGAAGAACCTGATAAAAGTAATTGTTTTTAGTCTTTAATTAGCTTATTAAGATTTTTTTAAATCAATGTTTATTTTATATGGTTTTTAATTGTCTTGAGAAAAAAAACTTTTATTTGAATATTTAATCAATGAATGACTATAGTCTATATTTAAATATAATCTGCTTTGATTGTTCATATAATTAGTTTTCAGCTAGACAAAAATCTTTAAATGACAATAATTTATTTAAGAAGAAATTCTCCAAATATTTTATTATTTAACCTTTTTGGATTACTAACTAGATAATGGGCATGAATTATTTTCTTTAAATTGTAAAGTTTTGTATAGTTATTCATGTGATGCAATCATGATAATCAGCAAATTTTAAAACATCAATGATAATAATTTTAAAAAAATGTACATTCGTATAAACTAAGTATCACCAATTAATATTTTTTGAAAATCACTTTAGGAATACAAGACATTTTTGGAGGCCATCAATTGGTTGTCATTTTAAATTTATAGAAAATAAAAGCAAATTAAAAAAAAAAAAAAATTGAAAAATGATATAAAAATTATAAAAACTAATTGAATTAATATTTTTAATTTTTGCTAGCCAGGTACAGTTTTTCTAGGGCTGTATGTTTATTCCTCAGATATAAACAATGTTAACATTAAACTGCGTTTTTTCAGAACCATACATTCAATAATCTACTAATTTTTAAATTTTAAACATTAATACGTGATTCATACATCTGCAAAAATGAAAAGTTTTTGTAACTATTCTGTATCACCATTTATCTTCTTTTTATATCATTTTGGTGATTTTTAATTTTGTACAAACTCATAATTGATATAGTATATTATACCTATTTTAATGGATCTATACTGTTCAAATCAAGATACATATTCGGCAGCAACTTGTTTTTTTTTGAACAGTGGTCATGCAACACTCATTTGTCAATTCTTACTGGGTCAACCATCTGTAAACCTACTACTTTTCTTAACTTAAACAGAGTATAATATCTGTTATTATATATCACATGTATGCATTGTAGATGTATAATTTTAATATTAATAGAAACATGAATTAAGCTTTCGTTCAAAGTTTTGATTGATATACATAAATATAATCTATAATGTATCAATATAACTGTAAATTATTAACTTCCAGAAATATTTTTAGAGAAGGAATAATATACTAAACGATAAAAATATAATTTGAAATTGGCATATTACATCATAATAAATATTATAATTTGTGTATGAAATCGTATATTATATATAAAAAAAAAAATTATTACATACAAACAAAATCTAAATTAAATTGCTAAGTTGTTCATTAATTTTATTAAATTTTACAAAAATAAATGTTTAAACTAATTGGTTTTAAATGCTCTTTTTATATTTTTAGTAACTTTCGAGACTGAAACATTAGAAATAGATGATCAAGAACCAGTCGACCAACTGATGCCTCTTATTACAAATGATCAAGAACAGTGTTCAGTGGTGAAGAAAATAAATTAAATCATTATGACGTTATTTTTTATTAATAATTTCACATACAATAATAACTTACTTATTATATAAATAAAAATGTGCGTTTTGTATAGTTTTGGGTAATTGTATAATTATATTAATAGGCTGGTATAGTTATAAGGTACCTACTCTACAAAAATGTACGTTGTTAGTTTATTTATTACTATTTATTTGCATTTAGACAACAAAATATTGTTACCTAAAATAATGTTATTATTTTGTGTTTTTCTACCATTTTCCTCTTCTTATGGTGATTTATTTTGTTTGTTATTATTAATATTATTATTTAAAATCTGGTGGCATTTTATAATACTGTTTTGGTTTATTAGTTTTGTACTCGAAAACTGTGTGTGTTATGTATTTTTTTTTTTTTTTCATAAAAAAAGAAAGAAAACATTTTGTTACTTTGAATTTTTTGTTTTTATTTCATTTAAAACCCTTAACGATTAAAAGACAATTCATGATAATATTAAAATGTTAAGACTTAAAATATTGTGTCGGTTAATAATAACGATGTTTGAGAAGAGTAATACCGATTGAAATATACGATTAAAAAGATGAACAGAACACAATGTTATGTATTATTAAATATCATAGATGTAGTCGAATGAAAATAATTTGGTTTTTCGTCTACATTTTTTGTGCATTATCTTACAATTAGGATCAGTCTTAGGAGATAAAAAAATAGAAGTACGTTTGGATGTGTAAGGCATATACAGCGCGATGAGTAGTAGTAGTTATAGTAATAATACTAGTAGTAAACAGTAGTTAGTAGAATTAACAGTAATGATGGTATAGTAAAGAAATCTGATTTTTGAAAACTGTGTTCATGACTATATTTTAGTTGACCGAGAAGAGACTCATAACAGTCAACATTCGACAAGGGTTACTACACAGTGTGTGTGTGTGTGTGTGTATGTATCGTGTGTGTGTGTGATGTACGAGTAAAGCAAGTATGACAGGAAAATTAAGAGGAGGAGGATGTCTATTATCAACGAGATTAACATGAAATAACCATAATTGCCGTCGCCATCTTCAACAGGATAGTACGAACATTATGAAATCTTTCGCGGAGACCTACAGTGACAAACGTGTTTCCTCGTCCTCGTTCCGATCTGGCAGTTGTATCGTCGTAGTCCATCATCGGCGGCGGCTGTCATCTAGACACAGCGGCGGAAGTCGAAGCCGGGGCCGCTGCCGCCACTTCGTCTCGGAAGTCTAACGATAAGTCCACTTCCAGCGTCGTTTCATCGCCGTAAGTAGTAGTTGTCGTCGTCGTAGTTTGCACGTCAGCGGACTGTTGTGGCCCGCGGAGCTGTAGGACCGTCGGGTGCGCGGAGCCCGAAGACGCGACAACCACAAATTCGCCGCCAGGCAATATTTCGAACGCCGTTATCGGGTTAGTTGGGGTATACTCCGAGACGAGTTGACCTGCAGGCAGTTTAAACGAAATAATAAACGTAAGTACTTACGAGTATATAAATATGAACAACATAACGTTTTAATATTTACAATATTTAAACACGTTAATTGTTTCATTTTTCTTTTCGTTTTGCTCCCAACTATATGAGATTGGCCTTGCTTATTAATCTTTCACCTCCACAAGGGCCTCTGGACTTCATTTAGGCTTTACTCACACAAGCTATTTTTGTGTCATTCTTTATTTTGACTATAAGTTTTTCTTTAATCCCCCCTTTCTTTTTCCTTCTAAATCCATGTCCACGTAGTCATTCTAACCAACCCCGAGTATTTTCTTCTCATAATTTAACCGAAAAGTTGAGATAATCTATTTTATCTTGTTTTGTATTTATATGTATTTCTATTCCGATTCTAGCCATGTTTGATTTCTATATGTATAGCAAATACCTAAACAAATTATGAGTTATGTATTTTGATTATTTTTATTGTTTCTTACAGTAGAAAGGTAATTGAACAATATAAATTTTACTTTGATAAAATTGGTGTATAGGTAGTAGATACTTATAATTAATAATTATACAAAAATAGACTAACTGCATAAAGGTTTATTAAAAATATATTTTACTTTTATTAATTCATTTTGAATATTTTTGTGTTTTTAGAATAATTTCAATCCTTGCACATATTTTAAGTTCTACTCGATTTTCCCCCAAACAAACAATTTTTGTTTATTACAGTTGTTATAAAGTCTCGGTTTCTTACTGAGACTTGAAAGCATTTAAGGCACAACGATCGTAACACTACTTACCGGTTGTGACATTCCAGAGTTTGATCGTTCGGTCTCGGGCGTGCGTGTCTAGCGACACGAAAGTACCTCCGGTTGGATCTAGTCGGAGGCTGGTGACTGGTGCTACGTGGCCACTGAGCGTCCACCGGCAGTTTCCGGTGGTCAAGTCCCAGATGCATATGTGGCCGTTCTCATGGCCGCTCAGAACACATCCGTCCTTAGACGATATGTCTAGCGCTACGCAGTTCACGCCGGGCTTCCACTTTTTGAACAGCGTGCCCGACTGTAAGTCGTACACCACTATGAAGTTAGGCCCGGGTTCGTCGACTTCCTATAGGAAAATTAAAGATGAACTCTATTAATATCATGATAACGTAGTTACGGGTGCAGTGCAATAAATTTCGGGGCATTGAATAGTCTGTGTCGTTCTATGCAGTTGTTCCTGATTATTTTTTTTTCAAGAGAATAACTATTAGGTAAAAGTTGAAAAATTAATTTCCGGTAATAAAGTTATGTCGATGGTTTTAATTTGTTAATTTCTAAGTTATTTATGTTACCAGCACTACCTACGTTTTACAACTTTATACAAGAGTAATACAAGTAATTAAAAATGTATAAAATATTATTATACCTATAACATCGTGTTTAAATTTATTTTTTGTTAATTATCTGATTACTGATTTGATTACAAAACATACTGCTGCTGCAGACAAGGCCGTTGCTGGAACAAATTTTCGGGGGGGGGAGCTTAAATCAAATAATATTTTCAAAAAACAACTAACACTTATTTTAAACAAAACAAAAAAAAAAATGATATTTTATTATTTATTATATCAATATATCATAATTATTTTAGAATATTTTACAGTAAATTGATATTATATACAATTATTGTTTAAAAAAATATTTTATAACATGAAATCTAGTAGACGCTTTTTTTTCTTTGGCAAAACGATCGATAACCTCATTCGGATCGATTTTAATTTGCCTGTGCACACTCAAAAGAGCTAAATCTGTAAACCGTTCTAAATCTGATGAATTACGTAAATAATTTTATAATCTTTTCATGGTTAAAAATATACATTCTGGCGTAGAAGTCGAAGTTGGTAATGTAACTAATAGTTTCAAAAGAAATATTCTTCAGGTGAATTTGTAACGACATTAATTCAATGTTTTTGACGTCCAACAGTTTTTGGTATTTTTATATCTTTTTCACTATCAACTGATTTTATAAGGTCCTTAGTTTTTTCAAAAATTTTGGAAAATTTAATATCTATATTACTCCGCATATCATGTATTTCATATAACATTGCAGTATCAACATATTCCAATGCTTCGGTCAAATTACAATTTACAAACTGTAAATTCTTACACAATGGTAATGTTTGGGTAAAAAGTACAGATGCTGTGACTATACTTATAAGAAAGTCACTGGTTATAATAGTTTTTCCCAATTGTAAAGCTTTTGATGACGTTTCAATATCACGTTTTAACTGTAATTCATCCAATGTATTTAAATTGCTTTATAAATTTCTATAAATCGTTTAGTCCGTCGTGATTTTCCATCCACGTGTTTCACATATCGATAAAATGACAATACAAGCGATAATTTATTAAATATTTATAGACGTTTCGTCCGAAAAAAAATCGTCTTTAATCGCGTGTAACTTATCTACGTATTATATAATAATATATAATATAAAATAATATATAATATAATATATATAATATTATATTAGGTATATTATAGAAAACGCCATCAGAATTTGTAATAGCTTGATTATAATAAAATGTTTAACAATAATACATATAATCGATAATCAAACATAGTTATCATATTATTTGGTACCCACATGGCCATATGGTAAATTATTATAATTAAGTTACTTACATAAATTAAATTTATTAACCATAAAATATTTCAGGGGGAGGGGGTTAACCTTAAAATCCCCTCATATACGGCCTTGGTTGCAGATTATTTATGCTAGCTAATTTATTTTCATTTTTCATTGTTATAAATTATAATTATATGCATCTACATATTAAATTAAATGTATTTAGATAAAATTAGTTCCTAAGTCATTTGTTAATTCTCATTTATAAACAAATACGAAAAGTTATTTGTATTATTTAACAATTTTAAATATTATTGACAGATCTCAATATAAGAAAATTAAAATAATATTACTTGAGCAACGCAGCACACGTAATGACCCTCGTAAGTGATGGCTGCGAGTCGCGTAATGAATTCATGGAATGGTATGCGCAAGTCGTACATCAACTGTCTGGAGGTCAAGTTCCACACGAGCAGTGGGAAAGGTTTTTGCGTTTCGTCGCCACATACCATGACTCTGCAACAAAAATGACGATGGATTAAAAAAAAGCATTGACGAATCGTTATATGGTAATCGTCATTTTCTACATTACCTTCCGTTTCCGGAAACAAGAAGCGAATTCAAAAATCTATCTTCACCAGCTTTGAAGTATGCCTCGATCGTACCCGTTTCGATGTCGATCAAGTTCACGTGCATCCGGCTTCTGGCTAACGCCACGAGTTTTGTAGAACTATGCAAACCGAAGTAAGGCATGTTTTGATTCATTACCCCTACAGAAAAATGAAAATTCGCGCGTTCAACAATAACCAATTGTAGTCTCTTGCATTAGGAAGTAGGAATTATATTAGCCGTAGTAGGACAATGTAATAGAATTATAATATTATAATTCTGAGGACATTAGTTTTAATACTACGGTTCCGATTTCCGGATTTTAAAATGTTATCATCCCGGTTCTACTTTTTAAAATATTTGGAAATAGGATTTCGAGATATTGATATTTTGCATTGTTATGAATTAGGTTTTCAAAGTTTAAGCTGGATAAACAAAGGAGAGATAAAAAAAATTGTATAGCTCTCACAAGAATAACTAGTATAATTATTGTATCATAACGACAAAAAAAGTCGTCATACCGCGTAACTAATTAATTATAAGCTACTTATAGAATATTATATTATATATATTTTGTTTTATTAAAAAAAACTAATGAAATACGGTCTCAATTTTTTAAAACCAAAGAAACCCGTAGGTATGCCAGAAAATGTCGTCATACTTTCTAAGAAAACTAATAAAGGTTCCAGTCAGCCGTCAGGTTCAGGTCCAGTGCAACGTAACTATAATGATAAATGTTCTCTGATTGTTATAATATCATAAGCATACCTTTCAGTTTGCTGATCACTTTTCCAGTCGCCAAGTTGATGACGATTAGTTTTCGTTCGCACAACACTATGCAACGCTGATTGTCGATCAGTTTCAGCGCAGTCGGATGAAGGATTCCCTTGAGCGTACGTACCCTCGAACATCTGTATACCCAAATACATGGACCCAAAAAAAGAAAACCTGTCAAGTTGACTTCCCCGACGGCCTTATAATATATTCGGGCGAACTCACGTGTGTACGTCCCACACGCTTATCTCTTTCTGCCCGGTGCTGACGGTGATCACATAGTTTGCGTCATCATTGAATCGTTTGACTAAGTCGAACCTCCCCGTGGCATCGAGGCTATCCGAAAGCGGCACAGTGGATTCTAACAACTGCGTTGCAGCGTCCACTGGAACTAGAGGCATCAGTGTTGGGAAAGGAGGCGCGTTTATCAAAGCCCGATACCGGTCGGCCATCGGCTGGTACAGTGACATCTGCGAGAACAGCTGATAACCGTTGTCCATCACGGCTGGCATGGCAGATGATAGGAAGTCTCTAAGAAAACGTGCTTCCGGCTCTTGGGCGTGTACTGACAGTTCATCCAGTAACTGTATAGAGGAATATAAGAATAATATTATGTACTATAAAATATTCTACACGCGCATACACTAGGAAAACATTAGGTGTGCAGGAATAAAAAAAATAATTTCTGGAATGTAAATTGAGAAAACCGATATTGATAAAACAAAATTGCATCAGAAATATTTTATGACTAACCAATCATTTTCCAATCAATTTTTGCTACCTCATATTCTGTTTTCTTATGTTGAAAGGGACATTGTTTTACATCTAGAATATTACCAAGAGGGAATTGCATCCTTAGTTATCTTCCTTCAAATGTCACCTATGACCTGTATATACGCTTGTATACGAATATTTTCTAGACGTTGTTATGAGTTAAAGATTGTCTATAGTGACTAAAATGTCTAATTACTAGATTTATAAATAAAAAATGGTCAAGCTGTTTTTAACTTACTAAAAAAAAATTTACCAGCAACAACTATTAAGTTATTTAAATTTTTTTAAGATATTTTGGAAATAATTATACAGCCCTGTTGTGGGATATACCGTTTGCAAAGGTGACTGTCATGTGGGTTCATGGAAATTTCACGACTATAAAATACGTATAACTCATATGTCTCTTACTTGTTGTCACTCAACGCTGGTTTCACAAAAATAGTTGTTTATAACTTAGGTTTCAATATAAAATTGCAAAAAATTTTGTTTTGCATTTTTCCATGTACAAGTTTTATCTTTTATGCTCATATAAAAATATGGAATTTATTATTATAGAATAAGGTTTACAAATATCAAAGTATTATGTAAAAAAAAGGATGCAATTTATAGTAAAATTAAAAAGTAGTGATTATAAAAACCGTTTAAATGAAAAATCTTTTTTTTTATGTAGGTATAAATAATAAACAAAAAGTTATCTCTATATCTTGATAATATTAAAATTTTAAAAGTATGCTTAAATCAGAATATTTGCATTGAGTCTGCTGAAACATTCAAAATAGATTTGAAAATAAATACTTTATTTATTGAACAAGTATTCTTGATAATAGTAGTGAAATTACTTTAAAAATACTTGCAAAACTATTATTAGAGAGAGAAATACAATATATTGCAAGTATAATAGTAACATAATATATAATATGTTAAGGCGTATTGTATGAAAAATGTATCCTAATAATTAATCGTATTTGCTATCATATTTTAAATTTTTTAATATTCGTTTATTTTAAAATTTAGAGTAATGGAGAGTATAGGTAGAAAGTGATCATCCTACACAGGTATTTTAGTACGCTATCTGTAGCATTATTAATTATTATATATCACCGTAGTCGCGTCTTTTTAATCGACGTGAGAAAATCGAATACTCGACTTACTTGAAGTACCGTTCCATGATTCAATTTTTCCAAAACCCAGTCAAGGTTGCTGAAAAATTGTTTGATCGTTTCGGCCTGGTCCGTCAGGTGAGTGCACTCGTCCAGTTTCCTGCGTTTCGGCAAACTCTTCTTACCGCAGTCGTCCTTCGACACCACCTGTCACCGAACAAAGAATATAATACACCGTTAAAAATCAAAATAATTAGGTAAACTTTTCATATTAGTAGTCTCGAAAGTCGGAAAGATTAAACTTAAATGTATAGTAATCTAAATTCTAATGTCAAAAATAGAAAACAATTTTCGGGAAGGAGGATTAAGTCCCATTATTATTTATTTTATTTAACTTTCCGTAAAATCATTTGAAATAATGTGTTAATATATTTTTCAATTTATAAATAATAAATATAAATACATATTTTTACACACCATTTTTTAAACATTGATATTTATTTTACTCATGAGATAATAAAGTAAAATTAAAATTAATTTTATCATCAATAGTTATGCAATATTACGTATAACGTATAAGTATGTTTCGTGTCATAACATATAAGTTATTTCATTTTAATGTATCTAGTTTTGTGTATTATATTCTTGTATACTTACAGAAAACATTAAACAAACTCAAGGAAAATAAAAAACACATAAAAAATGTATAAAACCTTATTACGAGTTAAATTTTTTTTTTTTAAATGAACTCATCATAATTTGGGGGCCTCATACTATATCTCATACCTATCTGTATAACTGCACAGTGTATACCTGATCTTCGAAGTATAAAAGTATTTTTTTGTTAATGCGCTGGATAGACGTACTATAACGCCGACTAGCTACTTCGGCGACTACGGCATTTTTCCACCGGGTCGTTGCGTACCGATCCGTTTTGAACCAGTACAAAAACGACGACATCAGCTCGTTAAACATCGCCCAGAAGAGACCGGCTGACGTCGGAATCGCTGAAATATGATACGATAATAATACAATTTTTCGTCAACTTAACATAATTGATTTAACGGTTGGATTATCTAATTACTTTTCTCATATTATCTAATATTTTAACAAATATTGGTATAAATCTTGTTTTTGTTTGTATTTTAATTATTTTTTTAAAAGATTATTAATCATGATAATTTTTTTTTTAAGTGAACGATTTTGTTCCTTTTCTCAAGGAATATCTGTGAGGTTTTCCCGATTTTTTACTTATTAGTTATTACAAGCATTTATGTGTGTAGGACTGTTGGTTTTGGTTATGCTACCATTATGCACAATATATCAATCTTCTATCTTCGCAATAGTCGCAACTGACGTATTTTATTTTTATACAATATAACATTTCACATTATAGCCTTAAATATACGAATATTATACATAATTAATAACATACCAGTGACGGAAAGGTCTGGATTTCGAAATTCATTTTCCGAAGATAGTAATTCAACCAACTCCGAATCAAGTAAACCGTATCGGGTGGCGCACATGTGGCCAATCACAGTGGATACCTTAAAATAATACAAGTAAATATTATTTGTTAATAATAATATATTTACGAAGTTTATAAAACGTTTTGATTCCGAACCGATTATAAATTTATTTTTTTATATGGCACCGTTTTTAAATGTTCGATCAATCTCTATGTTAGAATTTTTGCACTATACCTATCATTATATTCTTTTAACGATTACAGTTTTAATTATTTTTAAACGGGTTTGAAAGTGATTAACGAATCATTAATATAAATAAATGATGCCAACTGATACTTGAATTTTATTTATTATTTATATTATATATACATAGCAGCCAAAAATTATGTTATATAATTATTTGTGAAGGTATAATATAAATTATAATTAAGTTAAGATATATTGTACCTTGTCTTTGCCGAGATGTGATTCAATGTTATCGAAAATAGCTTCCACCCACTTTTCTGACGAAGATGGTTGTTTCGAATTTCGTATTTTAGAACACAACAAGCTCACTTGAAATTCTAACGGTGTTTTGATGATTACCGTTTTGCAGTCGATTTTTGTCGTTTCACCACTGCTGCCGATGCCACCAATCGGTCGGATGATCGCTACCGATAATAAGGAGTTGATTTGTTCGTCCGTCAAGTCTGCTATCTGTAAATATATAATGAAGTATAATTTAACCATGAGAATCGATATTAAACATACGAGAAATCAATAACATAAATTATAATAATACTTATAGGTAATAGGTCAAGTTAATAAGTTATAAATTATTACTAACCCGTATATATGAATCCGTTGTTTTTATGGTTTGATACAATCGATTTAGATGTGTTGAAGGCTCCGAGGCTGATACTATGATCTTGACGTTGTTGGGCAGTGACTGCGGTATCCAATCCACAAAATCATTCTCGAACTATACACACAAACGAATATGACGTGATGAAAACAAAATAAATGACAGGAACTTTGTATAAATATAACCATATATATAACTGTAAATATGACGCACTATAAAACCCAAAAATACATTTAAAATCTCAAATAATGCACAAAAAATTATATTTTTAATTTGTATATGCAAATTATAAATTTAAATTAATCATTAAGCCTTGATTTTATTATCTAAACTAATCGTATACCGTATCACATTAATATGGGGTGTAGAATTTTTTTTTAAAAAGCGAAAATATTGGTGATAGATACTTCCAAAATAAAATTTGAAAAAAATGAGCTTAACATTGTAAAAATTAAAATAAACGTTTCAATATGATATTATATGTTACGTTTTACGACAATTAAATATAAATGTATTTACACAAAATACACAATCCTGTTTAATTATAAGTTTTAACTTTATGAGAAATGTTATCTAAAATGTAGTAATAATTACTCGGTCTAATCCGTCAACGATCAACGCCACCGGCCATTTCGATCCAATCGAACTCAACAGACGTGTTATTTGTTCAGAGTATAGTTGTACGTCCTGAAAACGATGGTGGTGAAAAAAACATAATAAAACGGAATTTAAGTATATTTTTTTTGAAACAAAACTCACGTGCTTGTACCAAGTACATTTCCCGCTATCCACAAGATTCAATTGAACGACTAGTGAGTGGAGCGTTTGCTCCAGTGATGAGCTATTAGCGGATGCGTTGGCGAATCTCACCATCACTACTGCATTTTTATTCCATAGATAACATTGTTTCGCTATGGCCGCCATCACCGTGGTCTTGCCTGACCCCGATGGTCCGTACAAGATCAACGGGTACGCTGCGTCCGCATTCGTCAAATATCTGCGTGCATCGATACAGATAAATTATTGTATTCGCACTCCACAGATAATCATATAAATTAACATGTGCACCCACAAAACAGTTGGAAAAAACAACCAACGTTTGGCTTGGAATTTTAATCAATGGATCTTGATTTTGTTCACAGATTTTGTAAAATAATCCCAACAGGATAAATATATATTACATTTCTACTTAAATATTACAAAAGGAGATTTTTTATAAGTTAATACCTGATAAATAAATTATTTCAATCTCTTTTATGATTTAGTTAGTAGCTATTTTTATTTATTAAATTATATATCATATTATAATAATTTTTACTTTTTAGCACGTTCCATAGCTTCATCCCGGCGAACAGCCCGTTTGGCCGCGTTGTATCCGAACCACGCTTGTATCCTCAGCTCTTCCAACAGTTTTACGCTTATACCATACGTTGGCTCTTGTTTTTCCTATACATACATATCGATAATAATAATAATAACAGTATTAAATTTTCAAAGTATCACAATTCAAATTTTTAAGAACTTTTGATTATAAAATAGTTTTATACTATTGATACTAGTGATTTTAACAAATTTTGTCTAAATTTGAAATGTTAGCGATGTATTTTCAATGTTTTTAAACTGCTTTAAAATCAATTCATGATGAACATTAATAATAGGTCTAATGTCGCAAATAGAAAAAGTGTCGTTATAAGAGGTTTAAACATCCGAAATTTTATTTTTATTTTCAATGTACACAACTTTAGAAGTATTTTTATTTTTGTCTCGAGGGTTTCTAGAGATAGAAACTGCTTAATCCGTCTACTTCCATCTTTGCTTCTTTTTTAATAGTATTTACTGTACACAGATATCTCAGTGTACAGTATCGGTAAACTGTAAATTATTTACTAATAGAGATCATAAGGGAAAGGATATCTCATATTTTTGAAAACAATTTTAGCATGACCTTTTTAATTACATCATGACTAGTTAAAAATTTAAAGTTTCAGGACCACGTATCCTTTTAATAACTTTTCTTTCGAATCCAAGCAATTATATATTATTACTATATTTTATAATGGTTAAATTTGTATCGTGTATTAGACACTTATATATAAACTATGCTATACTTACACTTTCCTTGTCTATAGATTCGATAATAGACATTAATACGGATCCTATTTTCTTTATAGATTCCGTCGCGTTGGATATTTCGTAAAATATGATATTGGTTTCAGGCAGTTCATTCTGTAACAAGCAAATGCATATACAAATGTTTATAAAATATAGAAAAATTAAAAAAAAAAATCTATGAGAAAACTACAAAAAAAATAATATTTTATTAAGTTAGAAATAAATGAATATTATACCTTCAACTGTTTGCTAATTTGTTCGAGTCTCTTTTTGGATTCCATCGCAGTAGTTTTACATTTGTGATCGGAAATCACGTCGTAATTGTTGATAATCCACACAGACCTTTTAGCCAATTCGGCGTTCAACATGATCTCATTAAGAATTTCCTATAAACGTAATAAAATGTCCAGTTTCCAAATAATTGGGTTTATTATTCGACCCACATAAATCAATAACAATTTACCAATATTTAATTGCCAGTTTACCTGTTGAAAAACTTGTTCATCGTAACCGTTCTGTGAAGATTTCGAATCAAACATCTTCATGAGTGCGATTTGCAGCTGTACTTTTTCATCGTGCCACTGTTTTTCGTCGGCTTCCTGAAAAAAAAATTATAATATGATATTGATAAAAAATACTAACACACCATAAATAAATATATTTATTTAAATATCTAACGGGCAGAACAGTCATGTATAAAATGTGCATTGTATATATTGTAATGATATGATTAAAGTATACCATGTTTGTACAAACAATATTAAACGAAGAAAAATTTAAGAATTTATAGAATACTCTAACAATACAAGAAGATAAGAATAAAATGAAAAAATAGGTAACCGCTGTTTTGAACAGTAGGTGACGAGTGTACATTTTTATTGAGAAAGTTGTCACGTGTGTGTGTTCCATTTTAATTCAACAATTAATTATTGTATGCAGAAAATGATTTTAAGCGAAAGCGATCTGTTTGATTATGTTAATATGTATATTTATGTTACGATTAAATAATGTATTTTACTATAATCTATTAGTAAGTGGAATTATTTTTACATAAAACATTGCATTTAAAAACAACATTGTGTCTATAAAATAAACATTTTAAATGTCTATAAATAACTCAAAAAGAGTAAAATTGTTTGAAAATTATACCACAAACGTTGGATTATACGTATAAAAAAAAAATTGGTGAAAATTTTAAGTACCTACTGACATTTGTTTTTAATTACAACAAAATAAAAAACCAACTATTTTACACGTTAAAAAATGTCATTCAATTTTAAACTTTAAACACTTATAAAATATATATCTTCAGCTGGTTAACCCTCCTATTGAATAGAAGAGATGAAATAATTATCAACAGACTTATATCTGACTAACATACAGATAACCATGGTAAAGGAAGAAAAACCAATATGCACTACTTGCAGAACTGAACTTTCAGTCAACTACATAATCATAATTAAAGAATGCCTTCAGTACGCAGACGATGATAAACAGCAACCTCAATGTTCCCAGTACCCTAGAGCCTAGGTCCTAGACAAAGCAATTGGTTCAAACGTATGGACAACGTATTAACCTAGTTTTAAAGTTCTTAGTCAAAAATAAATTATATAACTTAATCTAATATAAAAAAAACTGTATTTATTTAAATTGTAATAAATCCAATAGTATGAAAGCCATTTTATTATTTTTATAAATTAGATAAATTAGACCGTGAATTACGTATATTTAATTAACTTAACTATATTTATGTATATATTATCATGTAGGTTATAAAAATTTAGCTTTAAAAATTCGATAATTTGATTTGTATTCCAAAAAAATATACTTGCCATAATTGTATTTTAGACCTTTCTACTATACAAAAAAAAATCGAAGGCCACGCATGGCTCTATACGCGTGTACCAATATCTATTACCCATAATTTATTATTACATGTACTATACCTGAGTCTCGAATGTCGTTTCAAACATCATCTCGTTGCGGAGCTCGAAGTTGTTTTTCTGCGCATCTAGTGTGTACCATTTTTCGATCAGTTTACTGGTGTCTGGCGTTTTGATCCTGGCCAGATCGAAATCCTGTTTGGTCATCTCATGGGGTAGAACTGGCGGACCCAGCGAGTCGTCCACGAAGACAACAGGAACAACGTGACCGAAGCGGTTCTGCCGGCGCAGTTCCGCCAGCCGGACAGCGTTGTCTAGCTGTCCGAATTCTTGTTGATGCTGGTGGTCGCAATATAGGTCTACTACATGTAGTTCGTAACCAATTTCCGTGCATTTCGACCGGATTGCCGGTAGCACATTTTTGTACAGGTTTTGTCTTTCGTCTGGAAATCCTATTAGTTACATTAAGTTTCAAAAATTGTTTGATAACATCACGCACGGATTTATAGTTATAAATTATTTTTAGGCAGTAAGCAGGTGTTTAACTTTAAATACGTATTTTCTTGTTAAAACATAAAAAATTCGATTTACATTTTTATAGCTTTACGAAATAAAGACAAGAAACATTTTATTTTAATAATTTTAAGTTTTTATATCCCATGCAGTCATGCATAACTCATAAGTAAACAGTAAACCGATTATAAGTGTATAATGAACCGAAGTCGAAAGTTGAAACAAAATATATATATATATATATTTTGCATAAACTAGATATATAATTCTAATTATATATAATATATAGATATTATAAGATATAATATATCTAGCATATAGATAAAGCAAACATGTTGATGATCATCATTAATACTCAATAATCAATACTTTTATGTATTATATATTTATTAGCAGTCTATCTACCTACTAATATAATATAACTAACAGTAGTGTGTTTTGAAAATTAAGCCTGAAATAAAACTATAAATATTTTGTTGATCACTTACCTTTATTATCCGGCAAACAGATGTAGACGACAATTTTGTTTATTTTTTGATTTGCAGTCGGTTCGAAAACGCCAAGCAGCAATTTTTTCGTCTCAATTGATACATTTTTTAATTCATCCGATAGTATACACGTAAACGGAAGACATTTTTCTGGTGTTTTATCTATTGGGAAAATATTATTTTTTTTTTTAGATATTACTAAACTGTCAAACAAAGACTTTCTTTGTATTTCACAGTGTAATTACTAATTAGTAAAATGTATAATAATGTTTTACGAGACGCCGAAACTTATGATAATATAATACATTTTATTCAATAATATACTTAGTAGTTACTGAAGTTTAAAGTGTTGACAATTCATACTACAATAGTGATTAGAAAGATCTAAAATCACCCAATTAGGTTTAATTATTACACCTATTACTTATATAATAAAGTCGATATAATTTTAAAATAAAAGTAGATTTTATAAAAAAAGATTCAAATGCTTCGATAACCAGGATATACAGCCTACGTTACGAATAATCAATATTGCGCTGTACCTACATCATATCGATACTATTATTTAATGTAAATAATTTGGTGAAACGTTATTATGTTTAAAAAAATATGGCTCGTAACAAGCCACCTTCGGATTGACCTTTGAGATTAAAATTTAATATTGTATAATATTATAGGTATTTGGATAGGAACCGATATTTTTTGAGTGTTATCTATATTATACAAGTTCGATCCCATATTTTACAAGCAAGCCTACACTATAATTAAGTCAGTAATTGTTCACTTAATATATTATGCTATTTGAATTTCTATTATAAACGTTATGCACTTGTTAGAATTACAATAAAATAAAATTTTAAATAGATATTATTTTTTTAAAGTAAAAAAATTCATGTATAAATAATTATTATTTATCTTTAACCATATCAATAAATTATAAAAATATTTAGTTTACAGAATTTAAGACATCAACTACGAGAAGACACTAAAATACTTCGTACCTATATATTTAAAAATAAAAAAAATTATAAACTATAAATTACAATCTAATTTTTACCCGTGCGTATGATTTATATAATTCACAATTAAAAAAAATATATTTTTGTATTAATGTAAGCATATTATTGTGTAATAATTTTTCAATTAGATAAATTATTATTTATAAGTACATCCTTACTGGTTATTTTACATTTTACTTAAGAATTTAAAATATTGATAAATGTGTGGCTAATTATAGCCATATAATATTATATAGCTTAATATTAATGTAGAGACTTTCAATGTAGGTACATTCATTTGAATATTGCAGGACTCAAAAATAGTAACACTGTGTAGACTGTAGAGACATATTTGAAATTTTACCAAAAAAATTAAATTTGTTTTATTTTAATACTACTGGATACGAAGAGCCCTTTTTCAATACCCTCCTTCTCCATCATTATTAATTAATTAGGTAATTTATTTTTATTAACAGTGATATTTATTTTTTATTTTAAGTAATAGGTACTAATGTTATTTATAATCATATTATAGCTTTGTAGTTTATACTAATTGTGCTCACGAGTCACGTATATAACTCGTATAAGTGCAGTATATTAGTTATGGTTATACGCATATAATACTTTACCTATGGCAGCGGATATGTTGCTTGGTTCAAAGGGTTTGCAGATGATTGTTGATGTGGTTGACTGTTCATCGGGTTGTTCAATTTTCGGAATTATAAAAGGCACCCCACCGACGTTACAGTTAGACGCATGTGCTGCTTTGGTGCTGTTGGTCACCGTTGTCGTTGCCGCCACAGATACGGCGACTTGGCTTTTACCCTTTTTGGGTACAGATATCACATTAGTTGCCTTGTCGGCTTTCTTTTGACTTTTTTTATAACGAGCTTTTTGCAAATATCTATATAAAAATATAAGTAAAATAAAATTAATTTAATTTTTAATTCTGACAACTAATATTTCTATTAGTGAACTGAAAACATAAGACCGCATATAACACAAAAGCCACAGACCACAATGTTGAATCTTATAAATTGGCAATTACTCTTCCCCCTGAGAGCTTTTTTGTTTATCGATTTATTTACGTTAATAATTGCATTTCATTAAGATTTTCGTTGAAAAAATATTAATGATAAATTCGATAAGAATTGAAATTTTTATAAGAAATCAATATTATGCGATCTATGAGCAAATTCAATTGGCGAGTCACGATTTAAAATATTTAAATTCGTGATGGTGGACCTACAATCTATTGTTTTTTAGTTAGGGTTTTTTTTTATCATTTTTTATTTAATTATTGTGTAAGTGAACTCTTGAATACACCATTGATAGTTTACGTATGTACACATTTTTGGAACACGTCCCGTACGTGACGATATAATAATATTATATATTATTTTAATAAAAGAGAGCGCGCCAAACACGCGCATGTTCCAAATATAAAGCATCGCGCCATCATCGCTTCGCGACATAAGGTTTTGTGTCGAATTTGGCACTGAGAAAAAAGCTTATACGAAATATACGAATAGCTGTGGCGTATGTGGATTTTTCGGGGGTGGGATAGAAAATCTTAATTTTATTTACGTTATTCACACGCATACCACAGTATTACACCTAATTATATCATAAGTGTGCGTCTTATTTTGCTGCTTCTATAATCCATACTTTAGAGATCACAGGCGCGTCTTTGCTTGACTGCCATAACTTATAAATATAAACATGGTAATATAAATACGCATGCGACCATGCGGTTAATCACATCAAATACTACTACGACTACAGAAAAAAAAAAAATGTTGCTCAAAAAAATTTTTCTTGTAATACTTTAAAAATACCAAATCATCTTCCACGTACAATTAAAATCTCATGTTGGTAAATACTCATATAAATTACACGATATTTTTGTTTATTCTAATTCAGTATAATATAATGACTGTTATGAGTTATGACTAACTTGGGTTTGAAATTTAATGCTCTAAAAGTTTATTAAATATATTATATGTAAATATGTATTTAAAAATCAAAAATGTTTGGGTACCTTTATATTAATAATAATTAATGGTTTAATTATAAACTAGTTCAAATAAATTAAAAATTTTTTAACTGAATATTATATACTAATTTTACAATTGTTTGACGTATACATTTGATGATTTTTAAAGCTATTACTAAATGTAATTAATTTTCACTCAAATTTTAATTTATTTATTTAATAATCGTAAAATATGTGTGTTAAAAGTTTTAAAAATTAGAAAATTCGCTTTAAAAAGTTAAAAATTTTATACGTTTACCCATGAAGTGAATTTATTACTTGCTTAACAATAAATCAAACATTCTAAATAAACACGCACACAACAAAATTATGAGCACTAGTTATGACTAGAGACCAGATTTTAATACAAAGTCAATTATTTTGTGTGTGCTTAAGAAAAATTACAAAATTCTTTTCATATGAATACATATAATTCTAAAGTGAAACTTTTTTTTTTACGTTTTTCAATATTGACAATATTTTACATTTTTAGAATATTTTTTTAGAATTTTCCGACTATTTCATAAGTTTTTAGTACATATATTAAATCATTGTACGAAATTTTAATGCAAATTAAGAAATTCAAAATATTACAGCAAGAACTATTGTTTAATGTTTTTCTAATATTTACTTTAATAGTTTTATTTTCATATATATATATATATATATATATATATATATATTTATAATTATTTTATACATATATTCATATTAAACATAAATGAATGCGATAAGTTGATAACATAATAAAATTATTTTTTATCCTTTCCAATTATTATCGAATATGGTGTCTTACTGGGATTTAAACAAATAATAACTAAATGGTCAGTTGGAGATACATTATGGTCACATTTATTTCCATTATATTGTTAATTTATCTTTCGTGCCTAAGTATACTGTATTATAGAAATATTTTAAAAATGTCGAAAGTCAAACTGTTGTTTTCATATTGTTTGCTTAGTTGCATGTGTATAAAAAAAAATATATTAATAAATTTAGGGAACTATCGAGTTAAATCATATTTTTAGAGCATTTTTTGGATAGCTTTTAGCCTTTAGGGTATTTAAAATTTAAATTCAGGCTTATCAATTAATCATCATGATTTGATTGTCCAACTGAGATTGTACATTGCATTCGTATCTACATTGAATATTGATCATTATATAAATATATAATCTATAAACAAATACGTGTTAGTAATTATATAGATTGTATACATATAAATAAACAAAGAGAGAGAGAGAGAGAGAATGAGTGATGAGATAAAATTAAATTTAATATAATGCTCAAACGTCAATTACCCTAACTAGTAACTTCCATCAATCAATTATTATAAATTATAATCATTTAACTCACGAGAATACGCACGGGATTGTAATATTTTTTTATTGCATCATAGATAAATATAATAATATGTTATTATTTTAAATGGATAATGCATAAATTTAAAATGCATAGTTTAGAAATTAGAGTTTAAATTATAATTTATTACAGGCACACGCTTCAGATTATAATCGTACTACCCACTTGTATCGCAAATATAATATTTAACAACTAATGATTTTCTTCTCGAAACTTTTCTATACATTTATTAGATATAATATAGATAAATATTTAATATATAACCTTTATAAATTAATATAATATACAATTAGAGCCGGACACAATAGTTGAATATCATGCTTAAAAAAGGTTTTGTTATTGCCATGTATACAGGGTTCATTTATCGGCAATATGAAGAATACCATTTTTCTTATAATTTTTAAATACTTATTAATATGATTTTTTTTTTATGATAATCGGTTTTGATTATGTGGAGAGCTATGATGATTTAAAAATTATACTAATGTCGCCTATAATCTATAAACATTTCATAATTTATAAAAACTTTCTAATTAGAATTAGAATTATATTAAATATTACATCTTTCTATATTTTTTTAAAGCCATTATTTTTTAAGACTATTATCCTTTGTATAGACATCTCAAAAACTATTCGTTTAAATTTTGATTTACATTTACATTTTCAGAAAATTGCCTTTTATAAAATTCAATATAGAAAAATAGTTCTTATTTGAAAAAATAAATGTTTATCGTTTACTTAAAAATTTTAAAATCAATATTTGAATAAATTCATTAATAAAAGAAAAATGGGCGAAAGCATCCTTGGTGAATTATGGTATGTACATATTATACTGTACAAGCATACAATCGTTTATAATGTCTATATCTGCCTTATATATATCTAAATATTAATCAAATTAATCGATTTCATGACTAAATAAAAATGACAATCTTAATTATTATTTAAGAATGAGTTTACTTGATTATATAATAAACGCCAATATCAAAAAAAGCACAAAAATAATATGTGATTATTTTTTTTACTATAGATTTTGGGGCAATATCCTGACCCTGAATATTTAATTTTTCATTATACGTTTTATCTTTGTGAGCAGGTTAGGTATATTTAATAAATACCCTATGACTATACATAAATATATAATATAGATAAGCGTCTGCACATGTACATATGTAAATAATTGTTTGTTAAAACGGGCATTGTGCTTACATCTACTAAAAATTACCAAATATATTCAACTTAACTGAAAATAACAATCCTGAAAGAGAGCCGGTGTATCAAATCATACTGGTACGTTGTATTTACATTAGGTAAGTATACATTTTACCGTCAACGGGCAATTAAGTGACGGACTATGTTATTGTTTTCAAGTCACATAGACTAAATTAGTCGTCTATTATTACTGTAGGAATAGACAATAAATAACAATATTATAACGAATCATTTGTTGGATATTCTTGAGAAAAATGCATGTGTATAAATAATGTCAGTACATAGTACAGACCAGAGACTAATGCGGTCATGTCATACTGGCATAGTATTTATAAAGTCTGGATTCAGAAATTATGGGTCCAGGTTTTTTCAGGTTTTGTTGTATAATTTATATACGATAAACATACTACAAAGGTAGGGTTAGAGATGTAATTAATACACTAAAAGAATGCTTTTAGCCATAAAAATTCAAAATAATGTTCCTATAAAATGCAGTTCATTTTTTTTATCTTGAAGAAAACTTTAAAGAACCAGATTTGTCAAAAAATGTAAAGTAAAAACTTTTTATTCTAATTTAGAAATACACGAAACGTAAATAGTAAAGACGAGCATTGTGTAGCTTTATGAACCAATGTAAAGTGCATTGAAATCCCAGCCTTATAATTAAGCAATTATATACCAATTAATATTGAATGAAGAGACCCATCTGCCTCCCCTCTTCCTTTATCTGGTCCTAAAACTTACACAGCTATACTATTATTTATTAATATTTAGGTATTCAATAATAAAATTATAATTATAAATATAAAATAATTATAAAAATAATATCTGTATTTTAGACTACAATTTTTTATACGAACGTTCTAGTAATTTTTTTTATTATGATTGATTTTTGTCTATTCAATAAATTATTTTAATACATTAATTTTTCTTGATAATTAAAACATTTTTAAAGCAAATAATTCATTTACTGACGTCAAGTAAATACCAATTAATATCTATTAATTACTTTTTCAAAAAAAAATGTATTAACATTACAAATTTTTGTTTTATTAGTTTTTAATTTAATAACAAATGGCCTCCTTATTCTAATTATAACAACTTAGTAACTTTTGAAACCTTAAATTCTTAGCAAATCATCAAAGAAAATATTCTTATTATGTTATGCTCTTTTTTAGGAGTAAATATTAAATTACATATATTAAGTTTTATTAATTTTAAAATAAATTATAATAGTATTATAAATATTTTTTTGTTTTATATTTCGCATAACTCCTTTCCTTATTGATATGCTATTCTCTTCGATTATTATTCAACTCAATAATGGTAGCTGGTATACCTAATTCAATTAATAACGATTTTAATTTATTTCTTTGATACACATTTTCTTGTTATTATTATATTAATTTTCTTGTATTTTATTCGGCGTTATTTTAGTTATTAAGTTATTTTGTAATTTTTATTTACTACACTTAAATCTTTTATTTTTACTTAAGTACAAAGGTAAAATATAAAATATTGTATTAATATTAAATGTTAAATTTCATCTGTATAATGAAAATCTGACAAGAATATGTTTTTGTATGAAAACAAAGTGTACGTAATACAATAACTGTTAATATGTGTATGTTTAAATATACAGAGATTCATCAAATATGCTCATTCTAATTTTTTCCTTTGATAATGCATTTATTTAATTTCTGAGATTTTTATCCCATTTAAAAAATTTTTTATGGCGACTGTATTAATATTAATTATTATCATTTTTAGTTATCATAGCCCTCTACATTAAATCTATTATCGTTGACTATTGTACTGTTGTTTTTAATTATAAACAATCACTAAGCATTAAATGAATCAAAAGTGAGTTAATAGTCCTTTAAGCATGATTTAGTGTCTATATTGGCCCATGATTGACTTATTAAATTTTAGTCACCCATTAAATTTATCGATTTTTGTATAACTCGGCATTAGTATATTAAGTTATCAGAAACTACTCGTTTAAGTTTCTATTTATAATATAAAATATACAGATAGTAGGTATATATATGTTTAAATCGTCTGCTTAACAATTTTTATAAAAAAAATACTGATACATATTGAAAAAAAGGAGTTTGTATCGCCTCAAGATCAATAGGCAATAGCATACTTATAACTTTTACTAAATATAAAAGCAAAAATTGATACGAGCATGGTTAATAGTAAGTCAAGTAGGTAAGTGAGAAGCTACATTTATATATTTGGAGCGTAAGGCATGACGTTAAATGATAATATAGGATGTTTTAAGTTTAAACCTATGTTTTTAATGACGTGTCTTAAAATAATTGTTTACGCACAAATACCATTTGACAAGACATTTGATTATTATAAAAATAAAAATTATCAAAAACTGTTGAAGGGAATAAAATCATATTATTTAGTATATAATATTATGTACAGTGGCGTATTTACGGGGGGGGGGGGTACCCAGGTCTCGACCATCCCCCCCAGAAAAAAATAATATTAATTTATATTATGTGTTTTTAATGTTTGTATTACAATATTTTTAAAAATAACTTGGGTTTAACTATTGATTGACATTTATTTTCATAATAATAGTGAAATATAATATAATATAAATAATATCATTATTAAATCATAACTCGTATGTATTTTATTATAATGTTATAAACTTATATTTAATATTAAGACCCCCCCCCACAAAAAAATTGAAAATACGCCACTGATTATGTATTAGTGTACATTTTAACATCTGTCTAAGGTCAGTAACAAATATTAAATCGAAGTTCGTCTTTCAAATGTCTCAACGTCGTTTAAATCAGAATTCAACAAAATACATGGGATTACCTATACATATTTATTATTTTTATGGAATTTTACTGAAAGTTCGTGACCGGTCTCGTGTCACGCCGTTAGACAATTCATTTTAGGTCTTTTATATTAATCTTAGTCCGTGTCGGGTAAATCGTCGCCTGTCAGATGAACAATCAACGAATTACGATGATAATGAAAGCTATGTTACAGACTTCGATATCGGTGACAAAACGACGTCTTGTCTAATATCTATCTAGTTATAATATACATTTATACATGAATACGATATATGAACATTAAACAGTGATTGTTGCAATTTAAATCAACAAAATTAAGTATTATAATATGTGTGTGACTATTTGTTCATGAATAACAATAAAAAATAAAATACCACTTTCACTTTCTAATGTTCACTATAATGACAAATAATCACCTACCGTCCCATTATATAAATATTTATGATGACTATGCAAATACAAAATGGTAACAAATAAAATGTGAAAAAACTCCACAAATATTAATTTGTTCGTCATTATAATGATTAACCCTTTAAAATCATATCAATTTAGTTTTAATAAAAGTACATTTTTCAAACCTTCAATATTATTTTTAACTTTTCCCAATTTAATGTTGAAATAATAAAATGCAAAAATTAAAATTAAACGTTAAAATACAAAAAAATAAATTGTCTAACTTAAAAACAAACAAATAGGTATTATATACATAATACATATATATATTTTTATAAATGTTTATAAAACAATTTCAATTTAATCACAGTTTTTGTAATTACCTAATTGTGTTTTAAACTTTTAAAATAATTTAATTAAAAAATGAAAATTGTAGTAATATTCTATAGTAAGAGAAAATCGTAATTTAATAACATTCAAGTAGTAGTAAAAACTTTTAAGTCATGTGTCTGGTCCCAAAAAAGGTATTTTACTAAATATATATGTATATGTTGAGCTAAACTTCTCTCGCTACCAATGAAATATAGGTAACATATAAAGTATAATTTATATTTAAAAGCGAAAATAAATTATGTAGATATTAATTGTTGCATTTTAAAAACTATACAAAAAAGAGCATTTACTATATTATATTACACTGATACAAGCTCAAAGTGGAGGATAATCGCTTCGGGCTTTTAGTTCCTTTATCAAAAATATATAGTCTAAGCAATCTAACCTTACAACTTTAATTATTAATAAATTATAATATAATATAAAATTGAGTCAAAATGCTTATATTCCTATCATCTATACTGAATAGGTGGTATACGACCAGAAAATGTAAAAATATATAAAAAGAAAATAAATATTATGAAATATGATTATTATGTTGCAAAAATCCACTCATTCACAACATTAATCGATTTTTAATTAATTAGTAATTAATATAATTATTGCTAAGAAACTAGAACTACTAAATTACTAGAATATTATTTATGACCAAAAAATTATCTAAAATAACAATATACACTTTAAATAAATTAGTAATTTGAAAAGCATCGTGTTAGGCCATTGTAAAAAAAAAAAAAATGCAAATGAATTAAAATCCAAATCTATTATCATTATTGTTGAAAAAAATGTATTTATTTATTTAAAATATTGCAACACCATTAGCGAGTCTTTAAGGATTACCCGGAATAGTTAAGGACGATAAATTTTTTATAAGTGGATTAGAATGGGGCGAAGTACATAGTATATTGTAGAATCTCATATAAAAGCATTTAACTTCCGTTCATGCACTGACGTTATTCTAAGATTTTTTATAAAGTATTTTTAAAGAAATGAAGGAGAGTAGGTATTTAGTTAAAGAAATATTTTTGAAAAACATTTTTAAATTAGTTTTTTAGCACTTCTTTATAACTGAAGACTATGAGACTATAATTAATTACTTTTAGTTTTACGATGTCATAGTTTAGAGTTTCAACGGGACTTGAGATACAATGTTATGATAATGAAAACTGATTTTATTTAAGTTCAAAAAATTCGACAATGATTATTAAGATATAATAAGCTATAAAGCTGCTACATTTTCAAGTAGTATATCTACAAGCTATAATACATTGAGCGTTTCGCAGTTTATTAAACTTCTTTTCCTCCTACCCATTACACTAATCAAAATTGTAGACATATAACCAATGTAAGTGAAGTTTATGTATAGTAGAAATATACTGTTGTAGATCGATGGTAAGTACCAAAGGTACCTATATTTTAAGCAATCAATTTCTAAGTGCTATTGATGAAAAATTTATCAAGATTACATATATAGTGTCGGTTAAATTAGCAATCTTTTGCATGTAGGTAAGGTTCTTGATCAGACTTTTTCGATCATATTGACGAGCCAAAGAAGAAATACATGCGTTTTGGTTATGATTAAAACTAGGATTTATATGAAATAAGAATTGTAAGAGTACGATTATATTGAGTTGGAGGGAGGGACCAATGATGACGATTTTTTTAATTTTCTCCTTTTTGTCGACAGATGATGAGCGTCGTTTACTTTTTACAAGTTAAAACAATACCTACAAAATTTGAGTATAATATTTTGATAAAAAAAAACAAATTTGACACTGGCATATAAGCGTACTAAATATATATATATAGGTATATAGTTACTTTATATTTTTATAGTGAACAGTAGCAGTAGCAGCTGTACAAACAATACTCTTCCCCTCCGCGGTGCCATCACACCGCACACGAGGGAGGGTTGGCTCTTGTATCATAATAATAATAATAATTAAAACTAGGTACCTCTCATTATTTGTTACTATTATTGTTTATAAATAGGTACGATGGTAGCAGCAGCAACATACCAATATAGTAATTATATCAATATAGGTACCTAAGAATAATAATATAGCACTCAGGGACACAGTTTTAACGATAAAAAAATATAGGGCTGCCAAAGTTCACAACTTGTTCAGTTATAGTTTTGTAATCAGAGATTGCACGCGACGAGAGACTTCACCACCAACTCATACCCCTTCAATATTGAATAGTTACTTGCCTAATATTTAATAACGGCTTTGCACCGCAGCAGTACCATCATCATATTGATTTATCATGGTACGATACAAAATAATTAACCATTTTACAAACGGCCTATATCGTTTTCGAGGGTGTCAAAATAACCGTCGCTCCTACCATAATACTATTTAGGTATGTATATATTACTATTATATATATGTGTATGTGTGTGTGTGTGTGTGAATATGTGTAATACGATGCAAGCTAAACAACTTTTGGCCGCCGTCTGTAGTACGCGCACACGTCGGTATCTCTATACGACCGTTTCTATAGGTATACACCCGATTTTACCACAATAAGCGGAGCATACCGCGCATACCGAGCATATACCTCGGTCCTCAGGATGTGCGGTTTCAGACGAAACGCGAAGAACGATTTATTATTATATTTTTTAGATACACGGAAATTTAAATGTTAATAAGCACAATTAACTCACTCGTCGGAACCGCCTCCGCCGTCCTTTTGTTTCGACGAACAATAGTTTCCCATGTCGTCGCAGCCGCCACCGCCGCCGGTTTCCGACCGCCGAAAACGCCGCGCTCGTCGAGCCCGGACCGCCGACTATTAACACTACTGCTAACGGCGACAACAACGACGCGACCGGCACCGCCGCCGACGCCGCCGCGAAATCGTCACCGTCATCGTCGCCGACGCCGCCGCCGCCGGACCGACGGACGGAACGCGCGCGAGTCCGTTTTCCCGCGGCGGCGCCGCCACTAGATGTAAAAGCACCCAGAGACGTGTCCGTGTCCCGCGACAGTTGTCAGTGTATCGTAAGGCGTCTTGCACGGCCGCGACTATGATGACAACGTCACGCCGCCGTTCGACGACATATCACGGATATTGAATCAACGACGGCTGTGATTTATTATTTATTATTATTATTATTATTATTTTACGAGTAACGCACTGCAACAACAATAATAATAATACTATTGCATGTAGCCCCGCTGCGTCGTGGTCGTCGTACAACTACCGTGGCGCGCGGCGGCGTACAGTGCGGGTACTATGTACTATGTATTGCAGTATTGTGTACACACAAAATAATGCAACCGAATACGCGCGCACGGGTTTTTCCACGGGATCGTATCGCGACCGAGCGCGCGTGCGCCCGCTCTCGGCCGCCCTCGCCCCGCCGCCGGGAACGCGTGTGCGCGCGCGACCGCGCGGACAGGAAAGAGATAAAAACGGTCTGCGACCGCGCTCGAAATAGACCGCTCGGACTACGGACGTTGCCAAAACGCGCTTTCAGGACCGGGAAGACCTGCACGAGAGTTTCGACGACGGACAGTCTTCGCGACGGAACGCGTGGCGGACGACGGTAAAAGCGCGGTAAGCGCCTCCAAAACTAACGTCGCGACAACGACGACGACGAAATAAAATCCGCCGACAATCGGGTTCGGAAAAATTTCATCCCGCGCGCGCGGTTTTCCCGGACGTCGCCACCTTCTCCCTCCCTCACCACAGGTAGATGGATGGTCCGCGTTCCGGGTAAAGTGTAGCGGCGGTCACCATCGGGCGGGGAGGCATTGATTATTTGACGACGACGTTGCCAAGTGTGTTTCGCCACACAACCCCTAGCGCAACCCGCTCAAAGAGCTTGTATATACACATTCGGCGGCCCGCGGTTTACCCCGGAATATACGTCCCTCCTTCCCTATGACAAGCATCAGTGGTACGCGTCCAAACTCAAAATAAATGATAATAATATATTAAATAAACACTTTTCATTATTTATTTATTTATTTATTTAATTATTTTAATATTAATAATATAAGTACAATATTGGTGATACACCATAAAACAAAGTGTGTTCTCCTATTTTTTAATTCAATCAGACAACACAATATAGGATGGTGAAACACTCTAATATTACTCTATAATAAAAAGAAAATTATTTTTATCTTTATAAATTACATTTCATAATTATTTTATATAATAATAGTCATCAGGTGATTTAGTTTTAAATATTTAACACCAACTGACAATTAAGTTAAATAATAATAATAATAATAATAATAAAAATAATAATAATAATAATAATAAAATTATCAAAGCGCATAAAAATAGTGTAAGTCTTATTAATCAGTGGAGTCTGTAAATATTACGTGCTTTAAACAAATTAATTTGTATTTTCTCAATACAATTTTTCGGACTATTCAAAAAAAAAAAAAAACGAAATAATCAAATTAAAGTACCATCTAGTATTATGACAGAATATAAAATTTAATTTCTAATTTCTAACACATTTCATTATATAAAAAAAAAAAAAATTGATTTTATATCTATTTTCCCATTATATTTATACATTAACACATAGTTTTATGCATTCGCTTATTAATGGTTTTCTGGTAGATAATGAGGTGGGAGGGGAGGAGATCAAGCTAATGGCCATATGTGATTGCTTGCGCCACACCATTAATAGTCTTCGATTTGAGCGTATCATTTTCGTACGTTTCCACTATTTCTGTGTCATGTTCAAAAGTCCTAGAAAAAAATTATTTTTCAAAAATCATTCTAAAATATTCACATGAATTAGTTGACAGTAGAGCTTATATGTTAACTCTTGGTACACACTTTTTGGTGGTAATTTTTTTCCCATTTGAAAACCGGGTAGATATTGATGTTCTTTTCATATTACCACCATTGACATTATGACCAGAATATCCATTATTCGCCATTGAGAACATAGTATCAAATCCAGAACCGAAACCACCTCCAAAACCTCCAAATCCAAATGGATTCATCATTGAAGATATTTCCTGATGTCCGTTACTGAATCTTTGACCTGGACAAGTAATATTTGTGTTAATATCACATTTTTAGGAACATTAAATCACAATCAAACATTAAGAATTTACCAGGGAATAGAAGATCTGTAACATCTGACGTATTGAAAAATTCCTTGAACACATCTTCAGGATCTCTGAACGAAAAGCTAAAGAAACCAGGTCCAAAATCTTGGCCAAATGGATCAAAGAACCCTGGATTTCGTTGATTACTTCTGCGACGTCCACCATTTCCAGAACCACCGTTTATCAGACCATCTTTGCCATATTGGTTGTATATTTTTCGTTTTTTGTCTAACAAAATAAATTAATAAAATTTAGTTACCATTAAAAACATGAAAATATTAGTAGAAATGACAAAATATTATTTAAAAAATGATTATTTGCGTTAAAAAAGCACCACTTCTAATAGATTACATGCTCCAGCTCCAATAATACTTTGAGGTTTAGTAAGGTTTAAAACTGGTATGGGTTACATTTTGAATGACATATTAGATCAACACAACGTAAATTATAATTTAGGGATTCTACCGAAATAACGATGGAACGGGCTTTCAAAGAAGTTGTAGAAGAATGGTCTGGACGATGCGGACACTTTTCTTTTACGCTGTTCATCATACAACTTTCTCTTTGCCTCTGTTAGACATATACAATATATTTAAAGGCAAAACCTATTTATTTTAACGAATATTATATATACATTATTTTTTTTTTAAATCATTTGTGATTTACAATATTTAATTCTATTCATCATTATGGTTCTTTGTGAAACATTTAGCTTTTAATTATTAGTGGTTGAAAAAATTACCTAAATTAAAGATATGTTTAGATTTTTTTTTAATGTTTCTTTAAAAGCTAATGACCTCATCATAAATATTACAGAATAAATAAACATATTAAATACATCATAACAATATATTTCTAATTAGATACCATCAGATAAGACTTCATATGCTTCTGAAATTTCTTTAAACATTCGGTTTGCTTGTTCTTGATTTTCTGGATTTTTGTCAGGGTGCCATTTCAATGCTAATCTTCTGTAACTGAAAAATAAAAACGGAAAAATGTAATTTTTATAGTATATTCTTTCACTTAACACGGAGAAATGAACTATATTGTGCGTACGATTTTTTTATATCACTTAACGAAGCGTTCGGAGTGACTTCCAGTACAGAATAATAATCTCCAGACATACTGTGTTATGTATTTTCTGGAACTTATTTGTATCCTGAAAAAAAAAATGCTATTCAGTTTATTTTATCAAAAGTATACAAATCATTAATAAATATAGTAGAGCACTACTGATGTGGCAGTATGGATTAGCGCTTAGTAGTTAGTAGTGCAATACACACAATTGACCATTTTATTATTGTTAAATGATTTTATGGTGATACGGTCTGATACACAATAAAAGTAATCATACTCGTTAATATATTGTATTTCCAATGATAACAGTTTGTAAATTATTTATCATAATATATAACTACTGAACTATAACATTTGTATTAGATACCTACAATAAAAATGTATTATGTTAATAGGGATATTTAAATTAACTAAATAATTACTGCAAAGTATTAGTAAGCACGATAGCAAACAAAATTAACCTTGAAAACATTAGAAGTGAAAATTTTCAAAGCCACATTAGATTATTTATAGATATCTTCTTTTCCTTTTCCTGATCATCACGATGTATTAATAGTTTACAAAGACGTACAACTGGGCTAGTGAATTATGATTAACAAGAACCATTTGGATGAAAAAATTTGTCAACCAACCAAACGACAATATTATACGAGACCAATATAAATACTAAACAAATATATCTCTAGTTAGTACACAGAATGAGTTTAGTAGATACAAAAAAGATTTTAAAAAACATTAATACTTCCTAGTTGAAAATTGACGATTTAATTTTTTTTTTATTACTTCAACTTACTAATCTAAACGTAATCATAGAATAATTTCAGTTATATAAGTATTATTATAATATAACGTACATGATCTCTTTTAAATATGGTTGATATAATGTATGTAATAATGATAATTCTTTTGTTTATAAAATATTTATTATTCAATTGTGTACAAAATATACATAATAACAATAATTATGATATTTATGAGTTGAATTTGAAAATGGTTCAACATTAAATTATAAAAATGGATTTTAGAATAAATTCAGTCTTCAGTGTAATTTGGTAAAATCCAGTTAATTTATTTTTTAGATTTGAACTATTCAAAATCTCAAAATGAACTACTTTTACAGGAAATAAAAAGTATATAGGAAATTCGTAACAGTAGTATACTATTTTTTTTTTTTATTTATGAAGAATATTTACAATCTATGTAAAAATAACACATAAAGCAAATGTGAAAATGTATATACATTTTAACTGTGAATAATATGAGGAGGATATATTAATTAAATATATTTATAGTATGCTGTACCAATTAAATAATATTACTATTAGTTATTACACTCACGAAGAACGAACATCTAATACATTTACATATAATATAATTATTATAATAACAGTTTAGCACAAATGTTGATGTTTAAAAACGGCAATATAAGAAACAAACATTTTAAAATATTACTATAGTGTCCAAAAGAAATAATTTTTGAACACAATATTTTAAATATTACCGACCATATGAATACAGTAATCACTAAACATTATATCAAATTATTACGTTTGAATTTGTTATACTTTATTATGCATAAATGTATTATTAATACATGAATTGTCTTCTTTTCTTTTAAGAAAATTCAACTAATGTGTCAAAATTAAAAACTATATCGTACTTTAGATTAATTTACTATACAGATCGGGGAGAGGGGGTGATTGGCTTCTAAAACTAAAATAATACATTACCTATATTATTATACGAAACTATCTAAACGCAAAATACGCTACATGACTAAAAAAACATAAGCTACACCTACATTAAGTATGGCATTGAGGCATTCTGCTTCTGCAATAATTATTGAACATATGTTCATGAATAGTTACTGTAAATCATTTGAGTTATTTTAACAGAATTATATAATAGCAATATTAAAAAAGTTGAAGAATTCTTTGAGTTAGGGTCCAAATGTCTTGACATTCTGATGCTATTATAGGTGAATTATTATGTGACACAAATTACTCGTAATAAGTACGGTGTAAGGTAAGACTTAAGAACTATCTGCTGACACCCAATTATCAGATCTAAGAAATTAGTTGATTATTACAACATAAATAAGGTTACACAAGTTTGGATTAAGATCTTAAGGGGTCCGGGGCCGATACTTAATTATGGGCTCCGTTAATAGAAAAAAATTACTGTCCTGTCCTTGCCCCTGATTGAATTGATACAATGGCATGAGTGTACAGAACTTTATAATAAATCACTTACAAATTATTCTTTGACTTTAGAGTTAGTAGAAATAATAAACATAATTATAAAGTGTTATTATTCCCTTAAAATATAGAAAAGTTTAAAAAGAAATTTTTCCGAAAAATCACGGTACATTTTAAAGCTTTACATCTAACAAAATCGCTTATATTTTGTTCTTTCTTGGGAGAGGGGAAGAGGGTATGTGCTTTTTTTTGTTTCAGATATGACTATCAATAAATAATATTATTAGTTTTAAATTATTTATATTATATTTAAGCACATATATGTATATTGTACATGCATTTATGTACGTATTTGTTTAAGAGGGGAATTAAATTGAATAGGATGATTTTTATGGGACATAGAAATGTAGATATTATTATGTTATATTTTTATTATTTTTAATATACCACTAATAATTCAGTTAAGTGATAAGAATTCTGAAAACAGATTTTAATCTGTCGTAGTCTATAATTTAAGAACGATATTCCAACATTTTTGATTTTTTAGGATAAAATAAAAAAAAAATTGAGAAAGTTGACCTCAATAATAGTCTTATTACAACGATTTTGTTTTTAGAATTCGTATATTTTCACTAAATCAATCGGTTCGTTAGAAATAGAATACATCTTAATTTTTATATTAGAAAATTGCTGCTTTAAGCTGCTTCAGCTTTTTTGTCTGATGTTTTTCAAGGTACTTTTTGATGTTATTCTTATATTAGCGTGATATTGTGACTAGGACATAAAATACTGATTATATTGATGAAATTAAGGTATTATAAGCAGTAACCTATTATAACAATATCATTGAATAAACTAAAAAAATCAATCTCTATAAGTTTCTTAAAAATTAAAAATACTTCGAACAAAACACAGAAAATATTATTCATAATGATTATAAGTTAGACCAGGTCATGATACCATGACACTTTAATTTTAATAATGCTATCACAATAAAATGAGTAAAATACAAAAAGGTTTTAAAGTTTTTACTACATTCTACGCGTTTAAGAACAACTTTTTTCTGATCTCTTTTTAAGGATAATTTATAAATTGATCGTGTATAAATATTATAATTACTATACAAAATAATAATATGAATACTAAGAGATGATTAAGACATCATATTATTTACTGTCAAATAGAGTAACTTCATAACATACACGCGAGACGCCATCGAAAATAGTTTACTATGTCTGATTGTTATTTAATAATGTGGTATAAGAATAAATTTACACTCAATTAAAATGTTAAAACGCAATACATAATAATTATAATAAACATAAATAATAAAATACCTAAGTAATAGTAAGATAACATATATTATAATAGTGTACAATAGCTTTTTTGTGTGTTTTAAATATTAATCTATAATCATAAAAATGTGAAAATTATAATTTAATAATTATTAAAATGTTTAAGTTTCATAAAATAATATTATTCTGATAGACATTGTATCTATGTAATGAATTTACGAGTACGGCGCATATTTTAAACATCTACAACAATATTGGTAATGAAAAAACCTTAAAAGTATTTTTTAATTAAACGAAAATCAACCTAGGTAATTATGGGGTCAAAAATTCACTAAAATAACATCCCAGTTTGGTACACAATTTTTTATGCTGCAATATTTCTGCCAAGGTAGTTTACGTACAACATAAAACTTTATACCCCAATAAATTTTGCACTTTAGTTAACTCAATTATTAAACTAACGCACATACAAATTGAATAGTAAATAATATGATTATATATAATCAATCGAGACAACAGAAATACCATTTAACGTATAAATATAAAGTGTTTAATGTTTAATAAAACAATTTTCTCAATAAGGCACTCATGACAAGTTAATAGTTAAATGAGAAAATAAATTAGAATAGTTTTGGGCGATTCGGAGAGTTCAACAATCGAATATTATCAGTATACTAGTCGAACCCACGCACACGATAATAAAATACATAAAATTAGTTTAAGCATAAAATTTGGAAAATTAACAAATATGAAGATTTTCCTAAGATCGATTGATAATAAGTACTTAATTTTGATATTAAATCGATACGACTAGGTCACGTTAGACGTTAGACACTTATTAACACTGCAGTTCCTACATATTATAATATATTTAAATATAAACATGGCAAGCTGAACGTTTTCGAAAAATCTAACAAATGGTTTTTAGGTCAAGTAACATTTGTCACCTTCGTTCTCATTGTGCGATTCTTGACGGTGTAGGCAGACAGGCGCGCGCACCAGATGCCGGTTAATTTGCTTTGGTAACACAACGAAGACACAAACGTGTAGACGTATTTAGGGGGGCGGTCGCCCCAGGCAGCGCTTTTTTATGGATACACAATATTCGTTTATGATTATGTATAAATAATTATTTAACCCTCGTTCATGATCCGAACTCATTTTATGAGTAATTATTATTTCCATACACTGTCTGAGTCATATTATATCGTATCAAATCCGCAGATTGTAATATAGTTATTGAAATTTAGTAAATAATGTTATTCTTTATTCTTTTTCGTTTTTTCTCGATGAATGATGCGTGAGAAGACACGACGTATTCGTTATTTTTATATAGGTACCGTAAAAAACTAGACCCGTAGGTCAAACGTACACACACGCATTCGCTGGGATTAGTGGCGAAAAATCCCCCCTCGACGGGGACACCTGCAACGAATATAATATTGACGACGACGACGACGATAAGGGCAACAACAATGATATTATTGTCCTGTCGCGCATCGTCGCTCGCTAAACACGCAATGACGACGTTATACCACGATAAATGACAATATATTAATATTATTGTGCACGTACAGGTCGCATCGCGA